TGTACCATGTCTGTTTACCCTTTAACGGTGTGTCAATAAGATTGTACCCGTTCTGGAAGAACGTGTGGTGTGAAACAGAAACTGACTAAAGCCCAGTAATTGAATGTCGAACTGTCGTTGACAACCACCTTTTCTACTTTTCTTTTACAGGCTGTACAAGTTGCACAATGATACAAGACACTGAGAACGAAGACCAAAACAGCACCCACACGTAACATTATCATTTCGTATTCTTATAGTGTTGCTACGTTTTGCACTAATATAATTTCGTTCGAATCCGTCGAGTCTTTTCCCTGACCGATACATACTACAAACAGGTATTTGCCTGCCTCCCTAATGATTTCACGTGGCCCATGTCTACTGCCATAGTAGATCTCTACAATGGAGCTGCGTTCCGCAAATCGCTAAATGACGAGTGGACAATTCATTTTGTTTTGACATTCATCAACAATGCTTATTCGGTTCCCGTCTACAAGGAGCCATGAAATTAGTCGTTTCCTGGGAAAGTTATTTCAGTCATATACCAGTCACAGACCGCTCGTCCTACAAACAACTACAAACTCTGTCTTTTTCTTCTACAACTACAACTCCACAGCAACCGTTCAAACAGACACGAAGAACCTCGTTCTTTCTGATAAGTTTGCGAATATAAAGGACAATTGATCATTTAGGCTGTATTCGAATCGGTTCAGTATACACTTAAAATATTTTAAGTTCGATCTTGTGAGGACCTGAATACACACAGATATACTGAGCATTTCGATAAACCGTAGTTTACATTCGTTTTGTCCACTGCTCACTTAGTTGCAATGCATTCGAATCACAATTTCATGCGGATCAGTTAAATGCCCTCGAAATGGATATACATACATAAATTTAATGCTGTATAACAGCAAAGTCAATCCGTAAAATTACCAAAAGGCATTTCAGAATAAGCACGTATATTTTTAAATTGCAATGACTAAGCATTTCTCTTCGATTAATGATGAATCCATTGCGTAAGTTGCGAGAAAATATTTTCACGGAACGGTAGGCATCAGCGACTTTCTACCTGACCCAATTCTTCCGATCAAATTATCTCTCGATCTTTCTTCCTTTTCATTCCTATTCTGTAGAATGCTCAATTGTACAATTTTTCACGAGGGAGAAAGCAGTCAATCCAACAATTGTCACGTGATACAAAAGACTGGGAGAAAATTTGAAGACGCGTTAATCACTTGAGATAACCATCACTCATGATGTATTTTGCCATGACACTGAGATGGTGAACATCATATTTTATCTATCTACTTGATCCCTGTGACAGAACGTTTCTTAGTTTGCTCATATTTATGCGACGATAAAAAGAATAGCACGCTTAGTTTAGAGGTGCATCAGGTATTAGTGTTCCCACTAGATATTTGGAGGCTTCATGAGATATGTGGAAGTGGGACAGAGAAAGGGAGATGTCAACAGCAAACATCTTCGAAATGGGAAAGTAAATTAACTTAATACTACCACAAATGTGGACAGATTCAATATTTAAACTTTAAGCTCATTATCACTTGTAAGAAGTGATATGGTACAAGTTATTTATGATTTTCCATCGTTCACAGTTTATGCTCACACCCAAGTGGTGAATGTCTTTGAAATGGCAACCTGGTGGTCCTGAGTGTGAACCCCACCACCACCGCTCAGTTCAGCCATTTATGCATGTCCCAGGCAGATTTTGCACGGCCGCTTCCTGAAAGTGGACCGTACATTTGTCAGCTAGAAAGAACAAATAAAAACATCGTTGATTAGCCGAGCCAATACGGAAAGCAACAGGTGTGGGTTTTACTCTGCTTAGAGCCCATCGTTGGCCAGTGTTCTCTGACCGATCCATTCGGGTTTCAAACCCCTGATCCGTCGCAAGAGCTGTATGTGTATATGCCTGCCAGTTGTACTCGTTTCATCCAGCTAACCCCAAGCCTGATCAGACCTCGTATGCTCCTGTACTCATCATTTCACTAAGTTCCCAAGTAGTCGGTTTAGAATTCACTCCCTTTTGGTCCGAATTCAAATCCAACCAATTCAATTAATTGGAAACCGTACTGGTTTGACACCACATAAATTACGGACCTGGTTAACAGTCTGACAATCATAAATTTGGGGTCACTAATCCAATCCAAATCTCTACACCTAAAAATTGAGGACGGTTAGAGTCCAAAGGTGAATAAAATATACTTCTCCATTTTATGTTGGGGTAAACAGTTCTGAAGTTAAAGGTATCTGCTTTTACTCTCGACCCATCTGTGCATCTTCTCCATCTTAAACTGATCGGTATTCATCCTCAACCCTAATTTCACGCAGTCCACCGAACTTTTATGTTTCACTTTAGATTTGTTAGAAGTCACCAGTTGTGCATACGCTTACCGCTTACTAGTTGCCGAAGAAAATTTAGCTGCATTAAAGTGCCAGTTTGCTCCTCCTCAGTCGTGGAAGACCTACTGAGAAAAGATCGAAGAGCGGGATTCGGTCTTGGTAGAATTGCTCTCGAATTCCATTGATATAGCTGGTAAATAACACTTCAAAACAACAGGTGCTGCCTGTATTATAAATGTGAGCGTTGGTAGGAATAGTCTGGACTGGCTTTATGTTACGGCTCGACACACCTAGGTTGGATTTGGACGTGGTTACTGGTGGTGGGGTTGAATTTGATTATGAAATGCACTTCATCACATCAATAACAAAATGGTTGGAAAGCACTATATAACTATTCCAAACTGCATGCAAGCACACTACTCAACGAGGTCGATTTGATCTGTACTGATTCGGATTACCTTTGTTCTTTCTTTCAATTTCTGTTTTCGCTGCAATAATGCTAGTGCTGATATTTATTCCACACATTGAGTGTCCGGGTGCGTGTGCCACAAACGCAGTGTATCGCACATCCATCTACATTTTGTGTTCATATCGGAGCTACTCACAAGTAGTCTCTCCAAATACACCTAAAACGTCACGTGTAAATGAACGACCTGGTCACGAGGTGGTGTTCCTCATGAAGAGTTTTCCACCGATTTTGATCCAAGTAGTTTCTAATGAACGCATTGATGGTGACAATTTTTTTGAAGCATCAGTTTTTCTTTGTTCACCGTACCCTCAAAAGTGTAGAAACGCCATGCCAATTTACCCTAAGAGGAAGGGCATGCATCACATGATAAGTCCACCATCTCCGACAAAATCTTATTTTCCAGTCAATCTACTAACGTTTATCCTACTGAGAACACTCGGAAGTCACACATAGGTTTCTCTGATATGTCCAGGGCTTTCGACCGAGTTTGACTGACTACTCGTGAGACTTCGCGAGTCCGAACTCACCACATGTTTCACTACCTGGATACGAAATTTCCTTAGTAACCGTTGGTGCTGATGGAGCCATTTCTAGAGCAATTGCAGCTGGTTCACACGTCCAACAAGGTTCTCTACGATCACCCATCCATTTCATTACCGAACTTTTATCCTAAATTCCCAAATCCATCTGCACTTTTACGAATGATTTCATCATATATTGTTCTCTTTCTAACAGCACTTCCTTTATTAACATCACTCGCGATCCATCGTCCGCGTATTCTTCACTCAGTTCAGATTTGATCGTCATACTACTTCGGGTATTGAAATCAACTTGTTTTCAATGGTGATAAGCATACGTGTTCCTTATGCCCAACGATCATCTACCGCATCGCGCTTTCTACCCTGCGACCGCTCCGGGCTAGAGGAAACCTCGTGGAGGTCAACAGATGACGTGGAGACGAGGCATGAAGAAATGTACAGAGCCATTATGTGTCTCGCGCCTTTCAGGTTCGGGTCCGAAATACTCTGCAACGGGTTGATTGGGGACATTGAAGGATATCGTAACAAAGCGATAACAGTGACGTCCTTGCTGTAATTTCTTATCAGGTCAGAATGCTTGAAACGCTATGTATACACAATTCGATTGTGCGCTCTGTGTGTTGACTACAGAGGTTCACTTACTTTCCCCTCCTTTGAAATAAGTTCACACCTTATCCATCTTACCTAACACCATTAACTTTTTCTGCATCGCGAGTTTGTCAGTGATCAGTGAAGTTCGCTTCACTGCACTTCGCTTTACGATGATGACGAATGCCGCCAAAACCTCTCGTATATTTATCTTTTTCCCAAACATAGGCACTGCACTACCCATATGTATTTCAAATCGTTGACCCCAATATCATTGAAATTTAACGATGAGAAGCGGTGTTTTACCTTTCAACTTCACATACACAACAAGGCCAAATCTATTCGTGAGTCAATTGAACATCGACGCTGAAATCTTTTTTCTTTTTTTACAAATATCAGTATAATTGTGGAACACCACTCCTTATAGTTTTCGTTCCCTCTCTGAATCTTTCTAAACTGAACAGCAGAATCAACAAGCTATAGTTCAGATAAACATCACCCCATCTCCATGGCATATTATTCGTTAAGGTTATGGGAGTGGATCTCGTTTGCTTTTCATTGAATAGGAAAATCATCTATGTGGTATCAATTCATCCGTAATGCAATCAAGCATGAATTGTTCAAAGTTTTGTGTGGTTTGCTGTCTACGACATTATTCATCATGTGATAAAATGAAATAACGAGGTGGGTTGAGCCAGGTCGTCCGTGATAAACTACACAGTTCTACGTCGGTTGATTCTGGATTTCTTCAAAAATATAACTTCCGTAGGATATTCAAAGTCTTGAGCACGAGTGTTGATCCATCTGTCCAAGATCGAACTGAGTCTGCGTTAAACGTCTTCAGTTCAAGGGTTCATCAGTAAAAGGTTTTCATAAATCGGAACGCATGTCCCATGTTCAACAAAACATGCTTTATATTTGAGCGGTACACCATCAGGGGAGAAAAAATCACCGAGTGGGATTGTACTATACAGCGACCGGATATGAACTGAACAAAGAATGATGATATTCACAGAGAGAAACTGGTGTCGCGAGTATTGCTGCAATTTCATATTATAAACTCAACAGGTGATTGAATTATCGTCACAAGGGGTAATGAACTCGATCCATCTGGGATCCATTTGTTCCAGATCAACAGGAATTTGCCAGTATTCGGGAAGCAAGGATGGGACCTCCGGTTTCTCAAGGTCGTCGAGGGATGTCGTCTCATCGGAATTCGGTGCCGGGGCCAGATACGAATCCCAGGAATTTCTGAAATAAAAAGCAGCACAATGAATAGCATGGGTATATGGTGAGTGAACAAACCCCAATCACTTGAGAAGTAGTCTATAAAAACTAACCATAAGGTGTAGGTTGCAGTGTTAGCGAGAACCGATTACCCGAAGTTAACGACTACTTCAATGTAATGCATACAAAACTCGATCAGACTTTATTTTTCTGCTCGAGCCAATGGTACCTATATATGTGTAGTATGACCACTATAGTGTCGCATTTCATAAACATCTGAATCCCGGCTGTGGAAAACAACTGACAGTACAATAATTAAAAAAACAGTTCAAAGATTTGTTTGTGGGCGGAATATTACCAGGTTGCCCGGACCAAGGCAAGTAAATTGTCATAGAGAATTCACAACCAGAGCCTGACCCGCAGATGGCGAAGCGGTATGCGAAAGCCGCAATCCATTTGGGGGCCAGTGTCCAGTGCGTCAGATCATATACCCTTTGGATGGGGTCAAATGTCCAAGGTTCCCAATATATCTTGATGCCCAAGTAAGCCGGTGACAACTGTCACAATTAGGAAGATGTGGGTGAGTGTGTGTCGAACACCTCTTCTTGCTTGATTTGGAATCAACGTTTGGACCAAATCCCCAAAGTGAGCTGCCAATGATTCATCGACNATCGGCCTTTCGTTCGCTCAATTTAGTGGGAAAACAACTCCACCACTAGAAGATAGTGGGTAGGACTTCCTCGGCATAGCCTGTTTCACAAGATTCGGCGTATAGAAGCATTTCGTGAGGTCCATCACGATGAGGCTCCATCTTGACGTGATGCGATGGCTTGCGCATGATCATGACCCTGCAAAATATACAGGATGGCTCCTCGAAGCCTCGGATCCAATCATGCCTGACAGGTTAATGGGTAGAAACCAGATAAACCTCAATCTCACAAGGTCAGCTGCTTGGGCACCTCCTGGCCTCCTTTCACTATTCACACTCACCCCCGGAGAGGTTGCTCCAGGAAATAAACACAATGAGGAGCATTTTACTGGTCAACCGCCCCCCCCCCCGCTAAATCGGCGTAGGGGCGACGTACCACGAGCTTCCTTTCAACGATGGAGGGTCTTCGCACTTCACTGGACAGCCCTCAGCCAATAAGGTGCTGTTCCGTCCACGTTCTGCTTGTCGCATTGGGTGCACGAGACGATAATCAGCGCACCAGCGAACAACACGCTCAACCGAAACCCAAAGGCCTTGCATGTCAGGTCTCTAGAAGTTTTCACGCGGGCCAGGCTTTTGAGTCGAAAAGTTGCCGTCGGGGTTCCCAAAGAAAAAAAAACTTCATTGGTCTGGGCTACCGCGAGGTATTTTGTGTCAAAAGTTTTAGGTACCCACTTGAATAACTCTCTTTCTCGTCTATCCAGTTCCTCCTTTCACTTCCAAATCGTATGAGATGCCTCCTGTATGCACCACCCAAGGGATGTCAATCAGCGTTCAACTAGTGAGGTCAACCAACCAGATAATTGAAACCAAAACTCCCTTTTCACTTGGCCGCATTCAATGCTCACACAATTTCAGATCGATCAACAAGCTAGAACCTTTGAAACCTTCAATTTTGGTGTATGCTGTTTCCGAAACACGCCCACAACGTCCTACTTCAATCATCACCTTATGATCTTCAGATCAGACCTTATCCTCACGCTTCACTCTCCGTGTGTCAGGCGATTCAGTATCCAACGCTCGCGGTGTTGCTAGTGTCAGGATTGCGCTAAATGTCAAGGCCGAGCGTTCACTCCTCTATTGGGTTCTGGTTAATAGCCTAGTGTGCGCTGTAGGTCTGGATCGTTCAGTATGGGTCAACAGCTACAGAACGAATCATCGGTGCTTATTTAGCGTATCCGTGTATGCATCGACGGATTGCAGTTGACCAGCAATGAAGGACGAATTCTACAATAACCTTTCTCAACTTCTCCAAAGCGCTGGGTCAACGGATATCGTGGTAGTTGCTGGAGAACTCAGTGTTCAAGTGGGATCCCTGCACGAATCAGAAAGACTTCTCGGTGTTACACACGCGATCCCACCCAACCGGACGGACAACGAAGAGTTCCCACTTCAACTTTGGGTTGACCACGGACTGTTCCCGTCAAGCACCAGATTTTCGCACAAGAAACAATCCTGCCTTACATGGAAACCACAAACTCTTCACAGCGATGGACTCAAATCGACCACATTACCATCAACTACCGCTGACGAGGATCCATTAAAGACTGCCGCTCTTACTGATCAACACCGGTGGACATGTAACATGCTCTACTATGAGACAGATTCTCCTTGGGTGTGATAAACAATCACCGAAAACGGACGAACACAATACTATGATGCCAGCGATAATTGAAAATTGGCCTTCGAAAGGGAACTCTCCGGTTATCCTTAAGCTCATCCATCTACCGAGGGCAGGACTCAGTGAACATTGGACAGCAATCAATCAAGCGATCCAAACATCAATCTTGCACAAGATCGAAGCAAAAACGATGGATCTTGTCAATTTCGGCTGCTCTGCTGGACGCTCTCAAATCCATTCCTTCTGACGTAAAATACGACAAAGGGTGCAAAGCCCTTAAACGCCAGCTCATCAAAAGTCTTAGAAATAACCGCGAAATTGGTGCATAGGCAAGTGTAAATATACAGGAGAGGGCGGTGGTTACCGGTAATAATCGCAATTTTTTTGTTTAATTAGGAGTACAAGCCCAAGAAAACTAGACGCCTCCGAAATCCTCAGTATGGTCGGGGTGGGTGTTTAGGGTTGCGGCTGGTCACCCGTNCCGTCCCTTGCACCTCACAAATAGCTCCCATACGACCAAGCGCCTCAAATAGCCTCTGCTTAAGAAGTCCTACGCACTGCTTTCTCATGGAGGAGGTACTTTTTGCACGAAAGTGAGAGGACGAAAAGCCGACATCCGGGACTATAACCGGGTTGGTGAGCCACTGGTAGTTCACCTAGGGGAGTTGGCTAAAAACCCTGATTCCAAACCAACCAAGAGGAGGCGTAAGAACCACAAACAAATTCGTGGTTGTGGCAATGGTCACCGGCTCGATTGGGCACCTTGGACGTTTGAGCCCATCCGAAAGGTGTATGATCCGATGAATTGGAC